CCACCCCCTCTCCCCTTCCTGGAAGCCCTCTCTAGTGTAGAGGGCTCCAGAACCTGCAAGTTCTAAAACCACCACTGAAACCACCATGGGCCTGACACCTCAAGAGCCCTCCCCCACCACAGGGCTGGACTGAAGGGGGGGGTGGGGGGGCTGGGGAGGAAGCCATCCGTTATCTGCGCAACTCTGAAAGGGAGGAGGTATAAAGAGCCTTGACTGACATCATACCCGACCCCTAAGCTGCTCTGAGGCCTGGGGAATCCAGGTGTCTTCTTTCTCTGAAGTCCAGCCCCTTCTCCTCCCAGAGATCACCCCCATGGAGCCCTACCGGTCCCTGGCACTGCTGGCTGGGTCCCTGGGCTTGATTTCCTGCCTGATTGCTGTCAGCACCGATTTCTGGTTCGTAGCTCTAGGACCCACTCTCTCGGCTCACTCAGGCCTCTGGCCCAGGGGGTCCCAGGATCCCGTAGCAGGTAAGGAGGAACAGATCCGTGGGTGCGGGCAGGGACGGCCAAGCAGGGACCAGGTACTCAGAAGCCTCCTCTCCCATCAGCCTACATTCACGTGACTCAGAGTTTCTGCATTCTGGCGGCCCTGTTGGGCCTGGTGTCTGTGGCCTTTCTGGTCCTGTCCTACATCCCTGCCTTGTCCGCGCCAGGCCGAGGTCCTCTGCTGTCCACCATCACAGCCTTTGCTGCAGGTGAGGAGCCCAGGCCTAAGCAGGGTCCCGGGCGGTGGTGGCAGTGGAGGTCCTGCGGAGGGAATCAGCCCTGTCTCTCCGATCCTCATCCCCAGCCCTGTCCCTGATCGTGGCCATGGCCGTGTATACCAGCGAGCGCTGGGACCAGCATCCACATCCCCAGATTCAGACGTTCTTCTCCTGGTCGTTCTACCTGGGCTGGGTCTCGGCCATCTTGTGGCTGTGTACAGGTGATCACCCAGCCCGCTTCCCTGGGGAGCATGGGGGGGTTGGGCGTGCAGGATGGAGGCAAGGTGCTAAAATGCTCGTCTGGCCATCACAGGTTCCCTGAGTCTGGCCACTCACTGTAGCGCCCCTCGACCCGGCTATGAAGCCATGTGAAAGGAAGGCAAAAAAGAAAAGAAGAAAAAGCAAGTTTGGGGCATTGTGTTGAGATGTTAAGAGCTATGGGAAAGGAATGTTTGATTCTGCCTCCATCTCACCTTCCTGGCCATGGTCCTTCAACGATTCCTTTACTTTCAATAAAAAATTGTGCTCAACTCTTGATTGTCCCAAGAGCTTCAGTCAAGACAGAAGCCAACCAGAGAGTAGTGACCCTGGGAAGCCAGAGGAAGGTGAGCGCTGCTCAGATCTGTCCCCCGTCTGTAGGGGACTTCCACGCTGTGTAGACACAGGCTCCCTTTTATTAATTGAAGCACCAGGACTTGAACAACTCAGGGCCTCATTCTCGTGCTTAGCCTTTCCATTCATGGCTGGTACTCTACCATTTGAGCCACATCTCCAGTTCTGGGTTTTTGCTAGGTAATTGGAGAAAAGAGTCTCTTTGGGTTTGTCTGCCTGGGCTGGCTTTAAACCTCGATCTTCAGATCTCAGCCTCCTGATTAGCTAGGATTACAAGCCTGAGCCACCTGCTCCAGCTCCTTTTTTGCCTCCAGAGACAGGGCCTCACTAACTTTGTCTGAACTGGCCTTGAACTTGAAATCCTCCTGTCTTTGTCTTCCAAATAACTGTATATTTCCTTTCCTTTCTCTGAAGCTTTCCTATCTCCCTATTTCTTTTTCTATTTCTGACTGTACTAATGGGTTATTTTTGTTGTCTTTTTTTGGGGGGGCGGGGAAATCCTGGGGTTTGAACTCAAGGCATTTGCCAGGTAGTGGCTCTACCACTTGAGCCAGGCCTCAAACCTGTTTTCCCCAGCTTTCCTTTACTCTTAGGCCTGGGAGGACACCAGGAGAGTTTATGCGTGCCTGGAAAGTCAAGGGAATAGAAGTTTCTAGAAGGGCTTGATCTACCAAGACATAGGTCCCAAGCTCCCCACCCCCCCAACCAGCTATTTTACCCTCATTCTGTGAGAACTGCTGGCTGGTGTGTACCCAGACATTGCCCCTTTAAGTGGTCACTGAGGAAGGGAGTTCTGGAACTCCAGGGGCCTCACAGAGACCCATCCTTCCCCACCCCTTTGGGATCTTGTGTTCAAGACACCCTGGGCAGCTGTAAGTCACTTAGGTAGATGTGGGTAGGGATGGGGTGTGGGGGAGGGCACTGGCCCCGGAAGTGACATTTCACTGCAGAGTGGGTGGGGGACAGGCTCCAAACCCTGAGGACTTCAATGGAGGGGGGTCTGGTCTCCAGAAGGGTGAGGGGGGGTGGGAGGAGTTGAGGGTTTTGAGGCAGGGCCTGCAGTATGGGGATTCTGAGGATGGGGCCTCCAGCAGGGGTGGGGGGTCTCGGGGGCCTGGGCAAGCATGTGGGGTTCTTGGCAGCAGCTCCTGCAGCATGGGGGTGAAGCGGAGCCTTCAAAGTGGGGGTGTCCTGCTCAGTCTCTTGACCAATGTCCTCACCGTGCTGTCTACCGCCACCAACTACTGGACCCGTCAGCACGGCGGCCACAGCGGCCTGTGGCAGGAGTGTGTCCAGGGCAACTGCTCCAACATTCCCTGCCAGAGTGAGGCCCCCTGGGGTCAGACCCTCTCCTAGCCCTCCCCCCAGACCCTCCCCCAGACCCACTCAGCCCCTCCCCCAGCCCCTCTCCCAGCCCCTCCCCCATCCCTCCCCCCAGACCCTCCCCCAGCCCACCCCCACCCTCCCCCCAAGATCCTCCCCCAGGGCCACTCCCAGACTGCACACCCCACAGCTGCATGTACCCCCTCTCTACCCAACATCTGCACAGACCCCTCCCCACCCCACATTTGCACGGACCCCTCCGCACCCCACATCTGCATGGACCTCTCCCCACCCCAACATCTGCACAGACCCCTCCCCACCCCACATCTGCACGGACCCCTCTCCCACACTACATCTGCACAGACCCCTACCCACCCCAACATCTGCACGGACCCCTCCGCACCCTGCATCTGCATGGACCTGCCCCCACCCCAACATCTGCACGGACCCCTCCCCACCTCACATCTGCACGGACCTCTCCCCACCCCAACATCTGCACAGACCCCTCCCCCACCCTACATCCGCACGGACCCCTCCCCACCCCAACATCTGCACAGACCCCTTCCCACCCCAACATCTGCACGGACCCCTCCCCACCCCAACATCTGCACAGACCCCTCTGCACCCCACATCTGCACGGACCTCTCCCCACCCCAGGCTCAGACGTGGCCGCCTGCCCCACCGGGTCCCCACAGACACCCGCCTCCCGCCCGCGCCATGAGCCACCGGCACAGACGTGACCCCCGGTCCCGTCGGAACCCCTCATGCCGGGCCGAGGGGGCTCAGCAGGGAGGGTGGTGGTCGGGAAAGCTGCGGGTCGCCCGCGCGGGCTGACGCGGCGCGCCCCCCGCAGCCATGCTGGCCATGACCGGAGCGTGCATGGTGCTGGCGGCGGGCTTCGGCTTGGTGGCCATGGCGATGGGGCTGCGGATCCGGTGCCAAGAGGGCGACTCGCTGCGGGGCCAGACTACCAGCGCCATGCTCTTCCTCAGCGGTGAGATGGAGGGAGGCCACAGAGGGTGGGCGAGAGGCGACCCGGGGGCTGAGAGGGGCGGGGCCGAGCGGAGGGGCGGGGCCGAGCGGAGGGACGTCAGGCGGGGCCAAGGGAGGGGGTGTGGGCAGGGCCTATCGGAGGGGGCATGGGCGGGGCCCATGGAGGAGCGGAGCCCAGCGGAGGGGGCGGGGTCCAGAGGAGGGGCAGAACCACAGGCTTAACCAAGGGGCGTGGCTCTGGCTGGTTCGGAGGGGGCGGAGCTAAAGGAAAAAGCAGAGGTGAACGAGGTCTGATAGACCAGGCAGGCCCTAAGGGGCGGAGGATGTGCTCTGGGCGGAGCCCAGATACAGCCCCTTCCCAGCTTACCTGGTGGGTGGGCGTGACCCAGGGCTGCTGCTGCTGATTGCCTTAACCGGCTACACAGTGAAGAATGCGTGGAAGCAGGACGTCTTCTTCTCCTGGTCCTATTTTTCCGGGTGGCTGGCTTTCCCCTTCTCTATTCTCGCGGGTAATCTGCACAGTGGGAAGAGGGGGGAAAACTGCCCGGAGGACCTCCTTCCCCTGCCCCAGCAAACCCCACAGGGACTTTCGGGGTCTCCATTCCCTATTCCCGTAGACCCGGGCCTTGGAACCCCTCTCCCGCCCATCCCCAGTCCCCGGGCCCACCTTGGCGTCCGCCCCCTTGCCCCACTTCCCTACAGCCGCCCCGTGCTCCCCTCCGCCAGGCTTTTGTTTTCTGCTGGCGGACATGATCGTGCAGAGCACCGAGGCCATCAGTGGGTTCCCCGTGTGCCTGTGACTGCGCCTGTCTGGGGCAGAATAAAGAGAGGTTTTTAGCGCCGCGGCTCCACGTGCTTTTGTGGGGGACATGGGAACAGGGCCTAAAAAAGGTCGGGGACACGGATATGGGGTCACATGGGGTCAGAGAGAGGCTTGGGAAAGACGTGAGGGGAATGTGGAGCAGGGACACGGACCTAGAGACCGGAGGGGATCTCCAAGGCGTGGGGAGGGCGCGGGGCCACTAGGAGACTGGAGACAGGCAAGAAGAGCTTAGGGAGACAAACGCGGGGGGGGGGGGGCACGGAGCGCTGGGGACGCGGGCAGGAGTGACCTAGAAGGGAAGATCAGCTCCGGAAACTCCAGAGTTTACGAGGATCGGGAGGATCTGGGATCCAGTTCCCGGACTCGACCTTTCCCCGACTTCCCGGCCGCGCCCCCTTCGCCCAGGCTGTTTCCCTGCCGTCCCGGATCCCGCCTCTCTCCCCGGATTATGCTTTCTATTGGTCTTCTGCCTGCCACTCCTTTCCCGCCTCGGCCTTCTGATTGGCTGTCTGCCGGGGCGCTTGAGCGACTGAGGACGCGCAGGCGCAGAAAGAGAAACCAGGGCGGTGTGTCCGGAGTGGTGAAGCAGGGTGAGGGCTGACTCCGCGCGTGTGGCTGCGGCTGGAAGATGGCGGAGCTGCGCGCACTTGTGGCTGTCAAGAGGGTTATCGACTTCGCGGTGAAGGTGACCGGGTCCCCTCCCACCTCCCTGAGACCGGCGGCCATGTGCTCCCGGGATCACCAGAGTGCACTGACCGGGATCTTAACCTCTGGTCTCTGCCGCCCTCCCCCTCCCCTTCTCCTACCCCCCCCCCCCCCCGCCGGATGTAAAAGTCACACTTAGGGGCAAAAGTCAGGGCTATGAAGTTCTGACACTCGAGCCCTCTGGGGTCAAGACCCCCCCCCCCACTATCTTTCCCTGGCTCGGGACTCAGCTCTGGAGGACGACTTAGCTTTTCTATTTCTTACGAGCTGGAGGAGTCAGAGACCCTGTTTAACACACGGAGAAACTGAGGCACAAAGGGTCCCTCAGATGAAGGGAGGATGGGGAGCAGAACACAGAGTCCGCGCCAGCTCCTGAGATTCCTGCACTAGGGCTCAGACTTTGCACACGAGCTAAGTTGTATTCTTAGTGCTCAACTTGAATCGCACAGCACCCCAGATCTGCCATCATGGGAGTCAGACAGGGCCCCTGGAACCCAGAAACTGTCTGCCACCCTCATAATTACAGGGTGAGTGAGGAAGCTCAAGCTTTTGTTTGCTTGAAAGGAGAGTTCAAAGGCTAACTTGATGGATCTGGAGGCACAGGCCTGGCTGGGGACCCTGCTGGTCTGGCTGGGACATAGGTAGGGGACAGCTGTTCCCAGACTATCGTCAGTCAGTGCTTGGCCTACACCGAGCTGAGAGCAATGGTTTTGTTTTTTGTTTTTTGGTTTTTTTTGGCTTATAAAATTTTACTTTTTTTCTTTTTTTTATTGTGAAAATACTGTACAGAGGGCTTACAATTACAGGGGCAAGATAATGAGTACATTTCTTTTTTAAAATTTTTATTTATTTTTATTGTGAAAATACTGTACAGAGGGGTTATGATTACATGAACAAGATAATGAGTAGATTTCTTATCAAGCATTGTAGCCTCCTCCTTCCCAGTCTCCCCCCCCCCCCATTCTTATCAAGCATTGTAGACTCCTCCTTTGTTTCCCCTTCCCATCCCTTCCCATCCTCCCCCGAGAGCAGTGGTTTTGTTCAGTGCTGTTCCTCCATCAGACAGGGAGCTTACCTCTACATTCCTACCACTACTCAGCACAGGGAGACTGACATCCCTCAGGGTGGGTGAAACCTGGCTACAAAGTTGATGCTAATCTTGTCCCTGCCTACTCTGGAAGTAAAGTGGGGATGGGGAAGGGTATAGCAGGTAGATTCAAGTTTGAAAACGTTAATGACATTGAAGTGGGTATTTACCATGTGCCAGGAACCCCTAAGTCCTTCTCACAAGACTGAACCATGTCTGTAGCCTGTCTACACTTTAGCTCATTGGATCAATGAGGACACGGCCCAAGAAGGTCCTATTACAGATCACCCAGCTAATAAGCAGCAGAGAGATTTGAAACCTGAGCAAAAAAAAAAAAAAACAGTTCCAGACTCCCCAGTGTCCTTTGCTGTGCCAGCATCCACTCACAGCCATACCACCGGAGGATGTGACCACCTATGCGGTGCAAGGCCTGGCTGCAATGGCAGGGATGTTGCTTCTGCCTGCCTGCCTTTCTCCCCTCCCTCCTTCCCTCCCTCCCTCCATTCTTCCTTCCTTCCCTCCTTCCTTGCTTCTTTCTTTCCTTGATTCCTTTCCTTCTTTCTTCCTTTTTTTAATAATAATAACTATTTTTATCTTATTTTTTGTGCCAGAACTGGGGCTTGAACTCAGCTTGAACTCACACTCTCCCTTAAATTTTTCTGTTCAAGGCTGGTGCTCTACCACTTGAGCCATACCTTTACTTTGGGCATTGTGCTAGTTAATTGGGATGAGGGTATCTTGGTTTGTTTGTCCTGGGCTGGCTTATCTAGCCTGTATGGTTCTTGGCAGCAGTTCCTGTTGTGTTTTCTGTGCTGGGCCAAAGGTCTAGCCGCCAGAAGGCACCTTGTAAAACCCTCCTGGCAGCTGGGAATGAGTGGCGCGTGCCTGTTATCCTAGATACTGGAGAGGCTGAGATCTGAGGGTTGCAGTTCAAAGCCAGCCAGCGCATAAAGTCTGTGAAACTTTTATCTTCCAATCATCCAGCAAAGGGCCAGAAGTGGAGCTGTGACTTAAGTGGTAGAACACCAGTCTTGAGTAAAAAAGTTGAGGGACAGCGCCTAAGTCTTTAGTTCAAACCCCTGCACCAATACATACACACCCAAAACAATAGGAAATGACAGGGTGTGTCACACGCAGTCAGGGTGTGTTTGGGTGTTTCTTTTTATATGCTCGAATGTGGATGAATGAAAGGTTGAGAGGTCATTTTCTAGCTTGAGGCATGGACAAGCAGTAGGAATGAACTTGTTCAATCTCTCTGGTACCCAGGCAGTAAAAAAGACAGAGTACCCTGGCCTGGATTGGGAACTGGAACCCAGCTATAGCCCCAAAGCTGCCTGGCCCTGGCCAAGGCCCTTTTGTGGCTCACCATGGTCCATGGCCTGGGAGGGGAGGGGTTGGCACGGAGGCCCCGCCTTCTGGTTGCTTTGCTGTGACCCTGTCTTCTCTCCTGCCGGACAGATCCGAGTCAAGCCAGACAAGTCCGGGGTGGTCACGGACGGTGTGAAGCACTCCATGAACCCGTTCTGTGAGATCGCGGTGGAGGAAGCTGTGCGGCTCAAGGAGAAGAAGCTGGTAAAGGAGGTCATCGCGGTCAGCTGCGGCCCTTCCCAGTGCCAGGTGTGCAGGGACCTAGGGACCTGGACCCCCAGGTCTGAGGGAGGAGGCTGGGTCTGGACCCCCGGGTCTGAGGGAGGAGGCTGGGGTCTGGACCTCTGGGTCTGAGGGAGGAGGACTGGGAGCTAGCTAGGCTTAGTCTTTTGGTGACAGAAACTATGCCAACCCTCTGTCCTGGCAGGAGACCATCCGTACGGCCCTGGCCATGGGTGCAGACCGGGGTATCCACGTGGAGATACCGGCTGCAGAGGCCAATCACTTGGGGCCCCTGCAAGTGGCAAAGGTCCTGGCCAAGTTGGCAGAGAAGGAGAAGGTGAACCTGGTACTGATGGGCAAGCAGGTAGGTGTGGCCAGATCTGATCCACAGCTCCGATCAGCCTGCCCCTGTGGCCAGCCCTGCTCCTACAGGCCTGATCAGCCTGACCCTGTGGATGGCTCAGGGCAGCAACCTTCAGCCTTCAGGGCTGAGCAGGGCTGAGCTTAGGGCTTGCTGCCTCCCCTGGCAGAGAATTTGAGCAAGGAGGCCTCGTCACTCTGGGTGTCAGGTCTTCTTGGAAGAGACACCAGGGGCTGTGGTTTAGGTCTCCAGGGAGTAAAGGAGAGACCCAGATCAAGGCCAAGAGGACAGAGGGGGAGGAGGAAGGGGTTTCCATTCCACAGAGAGAGTAGAACAGATATTGGAGCCGGGGCAGGTCAGCTAGCAGGAGAGGGACGGGGTTCAGCTCCCGACACAGAACAATGCCCTCTGGGACCTGGAAGAGTGGACTGAGGAGGAAGGAGAAACTTGATTATTACATATTTATTTATTTGCTGAGTTTTGTCATCCAAAAGTCCCATGGCTGGAAGTGTTGGGACAATGTAGATATTACTACTGCCTTTGAAACATGAAAATTGGTGATCCTCAGATCTCATCCTCCTCAGTGGCTGGGATGAGTGCTGTGAGCCCCAGCACCATGCTTGCTATTTTGTTCTGGGTCCAGGGACCAAATGAACTGGTCAGGATGCCCTTTGGGCCAGGAAGCAGACTCACTAACCACATTGGCCTCCACAAAAGAGCAAGTTGAGTAGCTCATTTAAATGGACTTCAGACGCAGTGTGTCCCAGGTCCATACGTGGCACCACCATCTCCAGTTACAGACAGTAATGTCTGTAACTGTAGCTCACAGCACACTGACTTAGTGTTCCCCTTGGGAAGAAGACAGCCTTTTCCCCAAGGACTCCACCCAAGCTCCCTGGTCCCATCTGCAGTCATGTGACTATTCCTGACCCAATTGGCAAAGTCCCATTGAATAATTTCGGTGTTCCAGATGTTGGTGACTTCTGGGAGTGTTTGTATAGGTGTTGTCACTGGCTGGGGACCAGGGGTTGCATATCTCTGGGTCCAGAGGGAATCATTCTGCACTTTCTCTCAGCAAACTGTGACTTGTGGTATAGCTTGTTTTGTCAATAAAGTTTTATTGGTCCACCCACACATATACTCATTGACACAGTGCTTCTGGCTGCTTATATGCTGCTCTGTACTTGTGACACGGATTAGATGACTCACAAAGCCTGAAATATTTTCTTTGAGGCCAATAACGGAAAAAGGTTGCCAACCCCGGTGTGTGAGTGTGTGTGTGTGTGTATGTATGTGTGTTGTGTGCATGCGTGCACACATGCTGGTGCCAGTCCTGGAGCTTGAACTCAGAGCCTGGGCACTGTCTTTTTGCTTTTTCACTCATGGCTAGTGCTCTACCTCTTGCACCACATTTCCACTTCTAGATTTTTGCTGGTTAATTAGAAATGAGAGTCTCACAGATTTTCCTGTCTGGGCTGGTTTTGAACTAGGCTTCTCAGCTCTCAGCCTCCTGAGTAGCTAGGATGACAGGCGTGAGTCCCCATCGCTGTGACTTCTGGAGGCCTACAAGGGCCGTGAGATGCCCTGACAGCCATCAGACAGCCTTCCCTCTCCCCCGTCAGGCCATCGATGATGACTGTAACCAGACAGGTCAGATGACAGCGGGGCTTCTGGACTGGCCGCAGGTAAGGCCTGGATTGTGATATCATCCCTGGTGCTCTCATTGGCTCACCTCTGTCGTATCTTCATTGGCTCCCTTCCATCTGCTGCTTTCTCATTGGCTCACTCCACTTGCCACATTCTCACTGGCGAGCCAGTGCCCTGTGCCTGACTCTAAGTAACCTCACCCACTCTCTTCCTCTTTCTCTCTGTGCTTCCCCAGGGCACATTTGCCTCCCAGGTGACTGTAGAAGGTGACAAGCTGAAAGTGGAGCGGGAGATTGATGGCGGCCTGGAGACCCTACGCCTGAAGCTGCCAGCTGTGGTGACTGCTGACCTGAGGCTCAATGAGCCCCGCTACGCCACATTGCCCAACATCATGGTGAGCAGGGAAGGGGTTAGAGCCCTGTGGGACCTGGAGGGGCAGTGTATGTCCTGCCGTGGTTGGATGGGAGGAGGGAGCCGCCTAGAAGATGGGATCACTTGGTCACCTTGCCTAGCAGAGCGTCTGCTGGGCTATATCTCTGCCTATACCGAGAATTCGGGGACAGAGGGAGAATTGGATGGTTGCCATAGCCAATGGGAAGGCCTCCTGAGTAACAGAAAGGGCTCTCCTTGTCATTCCAGACAGTGGAAGAAGTTTCCCGGGCAACCTTGGCAAAATTGAGTGGTCTGGGTTCATTGGGGAAGGTTCCTTTGGTAATCTTTGCCATCAGGAAGTTGTCATGTAGGCCATCTTGGTACACTAGAAAGGATTCGCATAGCTTTCTCTTAGCCAAGAAGAAATGTTCACTAATCATCATGGCCAGCAGGATGTTTATTGGCTCCGCTTGGCCAATATGGAGAGTTCAGTAGGTCATCTCCACCAATAGAGAAGACTTAGTGTATCATCTCAGCCAATGGGGAAAGTTCAGTGCATTATCTCAGCTAATAGGGTGGTTCAGTGCTTCATCTCAGCCAATAGGGAAGGGTCAGCTGGACGTTGGTGGCTCACACCTGTAATCCTAGCTACTCAGGAGGCTGAGCTATGAGGATTGCCAGTCAGGGCAGGAAAGTCCGTGAGACTCTTATCTCCAAGTAACCACCAGAAAATGGGAAGTGGTGCTGTGACTCAAAGTGGTAGAGCACTAGCCTTGAGCTGGACAGCGTCCAGGCCCAGAGTTCAAACGTCACGATTGACACACACACACACACACACACACACACACACACACACACACACACACACACAAAAGCAAAGGATTTAGTGAGAAGTTTGTTGAGTTCGGTGGAACAGTCTAGATAATAGAGAGGGGTCAGTCAATGGGAGATTCTAAGGCTTTACACTAGAGCACAATGAGATGATACACCAAACCCATCCCATTGGCTATCTCAGCCAGTAGGAGAGTTCAGTGGATCAACTCAACCAGTAAGGAGGGCTCAGTAGGTCAGATCAGCCAGTAAGGACTCAGTGGGTCAGCTCAGCCAATGGGGAAGGTTCAATGTTCATCTTATCCAATGGAGAGGGCTCAGTGGGTCAGTTCAGCCAATGAGGATTCAGTGAGTGAGCCTAGCCGGTGGGTAAGGTTTAGTGGTCATCTTAGTCAATGGGGAAGGCTCAGTCCGTGAGGATTCAGTGCATCATCTCAGCCAAAAGCTATGGTCCCCTAAGGAGGAATGTTAGCCTCTCAGGACATTCTAGTCAACAGGAATTGCCCACACCAGGGGTAGTCCTGGCCCCCAGAGAGATCCTAAGGGCCCAGCCATGGGTATGGTCTATAGACGTGACACCACAGAGAAGAGCTTTTGGCAATGCAGGCAGGGCTTCCATGTTCCTCTGAGCTGAGGCTTCCTGTGTACAGAAAGCAAAGAAGAAGAAGATCGAAGTGATTAAGGCCGGAGACCTGGGCGTGGACCTGACCTCCAAGCTTTCTGTGGTCAGCGTGGAAGACCCACCTCAGCGCACAGCCGGCGTCAAGGTAGAGACCACCGAGGACTTGGTAGCCAAGTTAAGGGAGGTGGGGCGCATTTGAGCCCCTTCCCAGAAGCAGAATAATAAAACCATAACTTTTTTTTTCCTGACACCTCATCCCCTGTCCATCCACTCTTTGATTCATTCATCAGACATTGACTTAAATCTCCTGGGTACCAGGCCTTGTGCTGGGTGAGGCCTGGGAGCCCAGTGAGTCACATCTACACTCTCAGGGCCACACTGCTGGGGACAGGTTCTGAAGTTCAGGGTGCTGGGTGTGGGGAACCTGGATGGGGTTCCTGGCTTGGCTGCTGAGGTCACAGGTACCTCCCAGGAAGAATATCAGGGAGGTGGTGGAAAGAGCTGCTTCCTGCAGAAGGTTTGTCAAGTCCTGTCATGTGCTGCCTCCTTGCAGAGACTCGGGCCTGGGTACTAGCCTTAGGCTTTTTTCACTCAAGGCAGGTGCACTACCACTTAAGCCACAGCTCCACTTCTGGCTTTTTGGTGGTGAGCTGAAAACGATTATTCTCAGGGACTTTCCTGTCCTGGCTGGCTTTGAGCCACAATCCATAGATCTCTGCCTCCTGAATAGCTAGATACTGATTTGAGCCACTGGCACCTAGCTAAAGGACTTCTTTTCCTAATTTGTGTATTTAGTTTTGTTTTTTTTTTTTAAATTTTTGGGTCCGGTCATGGGGCCTGAACTCTGGGCCTGGGCGCTGTCCCTCAGCTCTTCAGCTCAAGGCTAGCACTCTACCACTTGAGCCACAGCGCCACTTTGGCTTTTTTCTTTTTGCTTATGTGGTGCTGAGGAATCGAACCCAGGGCCTCATGCATGCAAGGCAAGCACTCTACCACTGAGCCACCTTCCCAGCCCTGTATTTAGTTTTTTTCAAGATGGCCTCACCTTCTTGTCCAAGCTGGCCTGGAAGTCACCACATAGCCCTAGTTGGCTTCTAACTCTAGATCCTCCTGACTTGGCCTCCCAAGTGCTGAGATTACAGGTGTGTGCCACCATGCCTGTCTCACCGTAGGATTTTGAAAGGTTAATTTATGTAGCATCTCCAGATACACAGATGATACTCAGTCTAGCTTATCACCATGTTTATTACCTTCATGAGGAAGGCTGTACCGGGACTCAGAGGACTGGGAGCTGCACACGGGCCCTAGCCCAGCATGGTACTAGTCTTTGGCCCTCTCAGGTCCAGCTTCTCCCTCCAGCTGTGCATCCTACAGGTCCCTTGCCATCTGTCAGCCCTCATCTCTTGGTTTGTAAAAAGGAATGCCCAGCATAGAGGGCCACAGAAGGGTTTGGCCCAGTAATACATGGAAGGAATTTAGCGTGGTTCCTGGTGCAACATAAATAGTAATTATTGTTATGGTACTTAATAACGTGAGACATGAATGGCAAGGTGTGGCATAGCCAGATTGGAAGGAGTGAAATCATTCCAGGTAGAGGAAACAGCACAGGCAGCAGCTGGCACCGGAAATGGGGAGGAGTGGGTGGATTCACCAAAGACTGGAGGAAACTGGACATCAGAAAGGAGACAGCAAGAAAAGGAACAGGGAAAAAAGATGGAGTCTGGGTAGTGGAGAGCAAGAGGAGGGGCTAGGACTTGAGGCTCAGGGGGAGGGGGGTTCAAAGGGGGAGGGTTAGGAGGGAGGGTGGTGGACACCTGCTCAGGTGAGAGCCATCCCAGAAGGGAAGAACTGGGAGGAGTGAGGGGTCAGAGGGAGGATGGTGAGTTCAGAGGGGAAAAAAGCACCTGTGTCGGATGGGGTGGGGGGTCTGAGGGTGCTGGAAGGTATGGGGCTGGAGGAGGAGGAGGGGAGAAGCAGGGCCAGATGTGGATCTCCAAGGCTGCATGGAAGACAGACTGCACTGGAAGCCAGAAGGGGGCCAAGAAAGACGGCTGAGTGGGGGGCCAGGGCTCCCCCAAATGTCACCTCACACTCCTCTAGGAAGTCTTCCTGGCTTTGTTCCCTCAGACTTGCCAGCATATTTTTTTATTTTTATTTTTTTTGGCTGGGACTCACTTCCCCCCAGGGTGGGGAATGTGGGGTTCAGGCTGGACCTTTTCATCCACAAACAGGCCTGACCAATGATGTAGGCAAGTAGGGTGGGGTGGCCCACCAGAGCTCACTGGAGGCCCCTGGTACCTCCCACTGGGTCTGGCTCCCTTCCCTGCCCAAGAAGCTAAGCCATCATTCCTGTCCAACTCGTCTGACCCAGAAGGCTCCCATGCAGGTGCTGGGTCCTGCTCCAGTCCACCTCTCTCAGGTGTGGTGGGCAGCATGGGCACCTCGTGGGCTTTGCCCCTCTTCCTACTCCTGGGTAAGTTACCTGCTCAACTCCCCCCTCAGCAGCCCCTTTCCCCTTTAACCCCTCCCCTTTCCTTTACAGGCTCTGTAGTCCAGATCCTTCCTCTGGAACTTCAGCAAGGCTCTGTCTCCTTAGATGCAGTCAACTCCTCTCAGGGTCTGGGTTCGAAAATCCCCTCCACTGGACTCCCAAGCCTGAACTCAGATGGGTCTGTGGGTTCCCCAGCGTCTGGTAGGATCCCTGATCCCACCCTGTTTCCCGAGTCTCTCAGTGGAAATGGCAGGGCCAGCTCCCGGTGGCCACATGCTTCAACCGAGACAGGAGCGCCCAGCTCTGACCCGACCTCTGAGCTCTCTGGCGCCAAAGCACTTCCTGACATCTCAGGGGCTCAAATTCCTGCCCCAAATGCCACGCCTCCCTTCTCCCCGAAGACCCTGGCTTCCAACGCTTCTGCTCAAGATACCAAAGCATCTGGCGAGGCTCCCGGTTCCAAACTCCCCTCTAAGAGTCAGGACCTTGAACTTTCCCCCTACGGCCTTGGATTCCAAGTTCCTTTCGAGACCCATCCCGCGGAAAGCTTCCCCCAGCAGGTGGGGGGCCCTCTGGCTGTGCTAGTGGGGACCACCATCCGCCTCCCCCTGGCTCCAGCCCCCAGTCCTGGCCCCCCTGCTCCACTCGTGGTCTGGCGACAGGGCTCAAAGGTGCTGGCAGCCGGGGCCCTGGGCCCTGGGGCTCCCCTACTCAGCCTGGACCCTGCTCATCGCGAGCGCCTGCGCTTCGACAGGGCAGGAGGGGGGCTGGAACTGGCCTCTGCCCAGATGTCGGACGCGGGCGTCTACACGGTGGAGGTGATCCGGGGAGGGGTCTCTCGGCAGGTTCGGGAGTTCACAGTGGACGTGTATGGTAAGTGGGATGGAGGCCCCGGAGATCTTGGAGAAGTCACCTGGGTCGGGGACAGGTGTCAAGGAGAAGGAGGAGAAGGGAGAGGGGACAGGATAGATAGGGTGCTTGAGCCCGGACCCCCGGTTCTGAGGGAGGAGGCTGGAGTCTGGACCCCCAGGTCTGAGGGTGGAGAGCTGAGTCTGGACCTCTGGGTCTGAGGGGGGAGGCTGGGGTCTGGACCCCTGGGTCTGAGGATGGAGAGCAGAGTCTGGATCCCTAGGTCTGAGGCAGGAGGCTGGGGTTTGGACCCCCGGGTCTGAGGGAGGAGGCTGGGGTTTGGACCCCAGGTCTGCGGTCTGTTGGGGAGCCCTGTGAGCTTCGACTCTTGGGCAATGGGGGTGGGTGGGGTCCTGGACTCCCGGTGCTAAGAGAAGATGCCCACCCCCAATCCCAAACAAGAGTGAGCTCCTGGCGCAGTCCCCCGACGGGCCCTGAGCCACCTCAGCTCTCCTCTCCTCTCCAGAGCCCCTTCCCCCGCTGTCGGTGCAGCCCAAGGCCCCGGAGATCGAGGAGGGGGCGGCCGAACTCCAGCTGCGCTGCGTGGGGTGGAAGCCGGGTCGCGGGAAGCTGAGCTGGAGCCGCGACGGCCACGCCCTGGAGGCCGCGGACCCAGAGGGCGGCGCCACGCCCCGCATCCGCACTGAGGGCGACCAGCTGCGCATAGCGCGCCCGGGGCGCAGGGACCAGGCCCGGTACACCTGCAGCGTCCGCAGCCCCTTCGGCCACCGCCAGGCTGCGGCCCTCGTCAGCGTCTTCTGTGAGGGGGTGCAGGGATCCGGTCGGGAGTCTCCATTTCCTGGGTCTCAGAGGTCTGGGGGCGGCGTGGGGGGGGTCTCCCCAATCCTCACCGCCTGCCCCATCCTGGGGCGCAGGAGTCAGTGATTCCCCCCCATCCTACCGCCCGCCCCGTCCTGGGACGCAGGGGTCGAGGGTCAGGGATCCCCCCCATCCTCACCGCCAGCCCCGTCCTGGGGCGCAGGAGTCAGTGATCCCCCCCATCCTCACCGCCCGCCCCGTCCTGGGGCGCAGGGGTCGAGGGTCAGGGATCCCCCCATCCTCACCGCCCGCCCCATCCTGGGGCGCAGGGGTCAGGGGTTCCCCCGATCCTCACCGCCAGCCCCGTCCTGGGGCGCAGGGGTCGAGGGTCAGTGATCCCCCCCATCCTCACCGCCAGCCCCGTCCTGCGGCGCAGGGGTCGAGGGTCAGGGATCCCCCAATCCTCACCTCCAGCCCCGTCCTGGGGCGCAGGGGTCAGTGGTTCCCCCGATCCTCACCGCCCGCCCCGCCCGCAGACGGCCCGGACCCGCCCGTTATCACCATCTCATCGGACCGCGACGCCGCCCCCGCGCAGTTCGTCTCCGCGGGCACCGACGTGACCTTGCGCTGTGCCGCCGCCTCGCGGCCGCCCGCCGACATCGCCTGGAGCCTGGCCGACCCCGCGGAGGCGGCGGTGCCCGCCGGGCCGCGCCTCCTGCTGCCCGCCGTGGGGCCGGGCCACGCCGGCGCCTACGCCTGCATTGCCGCGAACCCGCGCACCGGCCGCCGCCGCCGGTCTGTGTTCAACCTCACCGTGGCGGGTGAGGGCGGCGGCGAGGAGGGGGGGGCGGTCTCTGCAAAGGGAAGAAGAGATGCTGCGGGTGGGGCAGAGGCGGGGCCATGCGGGGCTGGGCGGGACCAGCAAAGTAGCATTATGGGGGCGGGGCCATCCGGGCCGGGGCGGGGCCAGCGATGGGAACAAAAAGCTTGTGGGGGTGGCAGGGGCGTGGCCATCTGTGGAGCTATCTCAATGAAGGGGAGGGGCCAGCAAGAGGGCAGCGACGGGTGTGGGTGGAGCCAACAGGTGGGCGTGGTCACCTAGGTGAAGAAGAGCTGCTGGTGGTGGGGCAAGGAAGAGGCCAACTGGGGAAGTCGGAGCCAGGGAGGGGTCTGAGAACTATGGGGGAGCTCTATGGAGAGGGGTGGAACCCAGCGTGGGAAAGGGGGGATTGGTGGGCGGGGCCAGCCAGTCTGTGGGTGTGGCCACTTTGGTGGGCGGGCCCATCTTGGGCGGGGCGGGCGCAGGAGGCGGGGACTCTCGTGGAGCGGACCAGCCTACTTAGCAGAGAGGGCGGCGCCAGCAAGAGCTCGGGCAGAAGCTCATGGGCAGGGGAGCACTTATGTTCCACAAAGTAAGCAGCGGAGTGAGATGGCAAAGTGTGAGAGTGGAAAGGAAAGGCACTGAGCCGCCCATGGGGGCTGAACAAAGGGACGGGGTGCGCGCGAGAGAGCAGAGCTGCCTGCAGGAAGGGGAAGCTTCTGGAAAAATGAGGATGGTAGAATAAGCTGGACAAGGCTAGGAAAGGGAAGAACTCGGCAAGGTTTGGAGGGGATCGGTGTGACGATTCAGAGGAAAGAGGGGCAGTGGTTGGGGTCGCAAGTGAAGGAGTTGCGGGACGGGGCAGGGGCGGAGGATAGGGCGTGGCTAGTGAGGTGGGAGGGGCACGGCGGCGGGGTGGGGCTATGTGGAAGGGGGCGGGGCCAGGATGCCACAGATGGAAGCTCAGACAGACTGGACCCTGAGTCTCCCTTTCGTCGACAGATCTGCCCCCCGGGTCCCCACAGTGCTCAGTGGAAGGGGGTCCTGGGGATCTCAGCCTCCGTTTCCGCTGCTCGTGGCCTGGCGGAGTCCCAGCCGCCTCCCTGCAGTTCCAGGGCCTCCCGGAAGGCGTCCGTGCTGGGCCGGTGTCCTCCGCCCTTCTGGTGGCCGTGCCCGCCCATCCCGGGCTCAGTGGCGTGACTGTCACCTGCCTGGCTCGACACCTGGCGGCCACGCGCACCTGCACCGTCACCCCAGGTGAGAAGGCCCGGGCCTCTTTGGTCCTTTGGGGTACTGAGGCAGGATGACAAGGGCTGAGTCCCTCCTTCCTTACTTTACAAGAAGCGGAATGAGGTGTGGCTCCGGCATGGAGACTGGGAGGGCTGTCACCTTCTCGTGCATGGACTTAACTCGAGCTTAGTGGCTCACGCCTGTAACCCTAGCTACTCAGGTAGTTTCGATCTGAGTATCAGGGTTCAAAGCCAGCCCGGGAAGCAAAGTCCACGTGAGACTCCTATCTCCAGCAAACACCCCACCCCCACAAAAAAAAGCCAGCAGCAGGGCTGTGACTTAAGTGGTAGAGCACCAGCCTTGAGTGAAAAAGCATGACACCACCCAGATCCTGAGTTCCATTACCAACACAAAATTAAAAAGGAGAAATCACCACCACCACCACCAAAAGTAATGAATATCTTAGGGGGCTGGGAAGGTGGCTCAGGGGTAGAGTGCTTGCCTTGCATGCATGAGGCCCTGGGTTCAGTTCCTCAGCACCACATAAACAGAAAAAGCTGGAAGTGGTGCTGTGGCACAAGTGGTAGAGCACTAGCCTTGAGCTGAGGGACGGTGCCCAGGCCCAGAGTTCAGGCCCCACGACCAGCAAAAAAAAAAAAAGAGTATCTGAGAAAAGCGAGTTTCTCAGCACAGGGTCTAGTCACTGGGACACAAGACAGCACATGATGCTGAGTTTTACCAATGCTTAGCACTTGAACAAAGCACATAGGGCTTGTGATTCACTGAGTTACTCCATTGACTCTCACTAACTGGACTTTTCCCACTCCAGAGGCCCCTCAGGAGGTGCTACTACACCCCCTGGTGGCAGAGACCAGGTCAGGGGAGGCAGAAGTGGTCCTGGAGGCCTCCGGCTGTCCCCCACCCTCAAGAGCAGTCTGGGCTCGGGAAGGCCGGCCACTGGCTCCGGGAGGAGGGGGACGCCTGAGGCTCAGCCAGGATGGGCGCAAGCTCCTCATCAGCAACTTCAGCCTTGACTGGGACCTGGGGAACTACTCTGTGCTGTGCAGTGGCGCACTAGGCGCCGGGGGCAACCAGATCACACTTGCAGGTGAGCCTCACCTGTCCAGCCCCTCTCCCTCAAACCCAAGGGTCCAGGCCCAGCCCCTTCCAGGAGGATGCCTCTCTGTGTCCTCTGCCCCTGGGATCAAGGCTCCCAACCCCTTTCCCTCTCCTTTCAAGAACCTGAGAGCCCAGCCACACCCCTCCCTCTGTCCCTAGGCCCCTCCATCTCCTCATGGAGACTACAGAGAGCCCGCGATGCCGCGGTGCTGACTTGGGACGTGGAACGCGGGTCCCTGATCAGTGGCTTCGAGATCCAGACACGGACACAGAGATCTGACCAGAGCAGAGTCACCAACTACAGGGACTGGGTTACCCTGCTCTTTCTGGGTCCTGGAGAACGGTCTGCCGTGGTGCCACTCTCTCCTGGGAACCCCACAACCTGGGTCTTTCGGATCCTGCCCGTGCTGGGAGCCCATCCTGGGACTCCTTCCCAAAGTCGGGTCTACCAGATGGGTGAGCTGGGGCGTGGCAGTTTCTCTCCAGCTTCCTCTTCACATTCTGCCCTGCCCCTTCTCACTCTGTCACACTGACTTGTCCTTCTGTCCCTGTGGAGGTGGCTGGGAGTCTGTAACATGAGCTGGGAGGTGTGGAACCACACACATTTCTTTCCTGACTCCCCAGGATCTGCCCCTGGTTGCCCCTCCGTGGCCATCCTCTACCTCTCCTGAGACTGGCCTTGGACTTGCAAACCTCCTGTCTCAGCCTCCCGAATGCTGGGATTCCAGTCAGGAACCACCATGCCAGGCTAGATTTCTCTGTTTCCCTCTGCTTGGCACATTTTCCACCCGGTTACTCCTCAGAGCTGCCTCTGCAGTGTTTCTCCTCCCTTCCTTCTTCACACTTTGTAGTTACGTTATATTTGCTCATTTATTTCTGACTCCTTTCCTAGAAGAAAAGACTACAAAGGTATGTACCTTCTCTGGTTTTTCTCCCCAGTGGAGCCTCAGCCTCCTCAGCAAATGAATGGAGACTGCCACGAGGGCTGGGAATGTGACTTTGTGGTACACACTGCCATGATCTCTAATTCTTGGGTTCTGAATGGGAGGGAGATTGGGGTGTGGACTCTTGGGTCCTGCCTTGAATTTTCTGTTTGCGTTTCCAGGACCCACTCTGAGCCCCGGGGCCATCACTGGCATCGTCCTGGGATCCTTACTAGGCTTGGCGCTGTTGGTAGGGCTTATTATCCTGTGTATCTGCTGCCTGCAACGCTCCCAAGGTGAGTGGCAGCCTTGGGAAGATGGAACTAGGGCCACGTGGGAGGGCCACTAGCAAGATGCCCATCAGGGGCCTACTTGAACCAATCAGCATGGCCCTACATCATCTGTCCCACCTTCTTCCTTCTATACCAGCCAATCGGAGTAAGGCTCCGCCTGTCTGGTCAGCTTCTCTTGCTATTTGCTGGGCTTGCATGTGGAAGCAATCAATCACGCATGTTTGGTCCTCCTCTTCATCCTTGCTCAGGAAAGGCTCCTACAAAAAAGCAGCAGCCCCTGACCTTGCCACCTGTGATCACCCCACCAAGAAAGACCATGCAGAAGAGTGTGACCCCAGTACAGACTCCACAGCCACTGCCTATCAAATGCCCACCGAAGGACCTCAGCCCAGTCAGGGCTCACCAAGTGAGTGCGGAAGACCCAGAGATGCAGAGGGAGTTGTGCTTCGTAATCAGGAAGATGAGGTGTTCTCAGTTCCTTCTCTCCAGTTTTTAGTTGCTAGTTTGCAAAGTTGATAAAACTACTGTTTTTCACTTTCTTGAGACAACTATGTAGCCCAAGCTACATTTTGAACTCCTGGCCCTCCTGCCTCAGCTTCCCAAGTGCTGGGATTATAGGCGTGCACCATCAAATTTTTTTTTTGGGTCCAGTCGTGGGGCCTGAACTCTGGGCCTGGGCGCTGTCCCTCAGCTCTTCAGCTCAAGGCTAGCGCTCTACCACTTGAGCCACAGTGCCACTTCTGGCTTTTTTTCTTTTTGCTTATATGCTGCTGAGGACTCGAACCTAGGGCCTCAGGCATGCAAGGCAAGGGCTCTGAGCCACCTTCCCAGCCCCACAGCTCCCATATTTTTTTAAGAAGCATATGATAGTTGCTCAGGATTTCCCACTCAGCTCTTACATATATTAAAGGAACAGTGAATTCTACTTTCTCTTCCAGAGGGGTGTGGATGGTCCTTCTTTTTCCTCCCCTATAAAAAGTAGTCAAGACTTGCATCATTTTTCTCCTGAGGTGAATGGAATTTGTTTCTACATAAAAGTTGGGTTGTTGCCTGGTGCCCCTTAGTTTTTCCAGTGATGACCAGACATTTTTATTTTCTTCTTGCAAATGGAGAGAACTCGGCTAGCTTCCAGAAAATGAGGGAAAGGGAAATGGGCACGCCAGGTCATATCCAGGGCCCTCCCAAGGTCACCCCACTACCCTGTGCTTTTCTTCCAGCTCACTGGCCCGCGTCCAGTCATCTGTCCAGGTGGGGGCTCTCGGACTGTTCGGACAGCCACACAGGTGTGATCACAGCTGGCGGCCAGCTCTGCATGGTATCTTTTGCCTCAGCAGCAAAGAGGGCCTGAATTGACTGAGGGGTGGGACTCTGTCTAGTCTGTCTGTCTGTCTCTCATCGTCGAAGAAGACTCCCTGTAAGTGAATACTTGAACCAGGAGAGACTGCTGCAGATCTGAGGGCTCTGCTCAAGTTCAGAGGCAGGGCTCATTGTGTTCCTAGGAGCCAGAATGGGAGCCTGGTGATTGGTTCTAAGTTCACATGGCATCCTCCAGACCACGCCCCTTTCAGCTCCCACTTCAGCCACACCTCTCTTCTCTTTAAACTCATGTACAAGTCTGCACACAGCCTTTTCTACCTTACCCAGACTTCTCATCCTGACCTTGAGACATCTTGTAGTTTGACCTAGGCCACCTCCCTTCCCCAGGACTCCCCTATGCACCCTAAAGGTACCCACTCTTCCTCACCTCTTCTCTCTCTCCCTCCCCACCCCCTCTCTCTCTCCAGGCAGTTGTCCCTAGAGTTTGATTTGTCTGGTCCCTTTTTTCTCCCTTATGCCATTAATTTAGCAAGTCTCAAAGGAACCTTTCCCATTCTGAAGGTCTCCCCTCACCCCACCGTAGATGGAGACCCACAGCCTCTGAGCTTCCCTCCCCTGTGTAAACACACAGAACCGTGTGTGGCCCAAAGTCCCTCTTCAGATCGAGATCTTCCGGAGGGCTCAAATGCTGCCCTGATCTCTGCCTTTAACCCAGGACTTTGCACACAGCAATCAATAAAGACACCGGTTGGCTGTGCCCATGTTTTGTGAACTAGCTGGTATAGGGCTGGTCTCGCAGCTTCTCTCAATGTGATTGTGGCTTTCTCCTGCAATCATGTTCCCCACTCTCATGGGGAAATGTTGGGGGCACCTTAGTGAGGATCCTCCCAAGTGAGGAGCCCCCAAGAGGGGGCTCGGCCACTCCTTCAAGGGGCTGGGCCTCTTGAATCTTTCTGCTCTGCCACTTGCAGTAGGTAGGCATATGTTCCCCATGTGTGAGGCCTCCTGTAGCAATGTGGCTGCTGCAGCTCTGGTCCTCACATCTTCACACAACTGTACCCAAAGAGAAAAGGAAGAGGGCAGGGTTCCCTTCGCCAAAACATTATCCGAATGGAGGAGGGGAGAGGGAGAGGGAGGAACTTCCTTGGAAGTCCATCAGCAACCCCCCTTTATGTCTGTCTCCAGTCACTCAGTCCTCAATGACTCGGACCTCTGCAGGCAGAGACTTTGGAAAAAGGCGTTTTATTGGTGTGGTGGTCTCAACACTCCCCATGAATTGGAACACACGGCCCCCAGGGTCCCCCCGCCCCCCCCCTCCCTGGCTCCCCTCCCACTTCCCACCCCATCCTGGGCCCTGGGAATGGAAGACAATGTGGGATGGGGCCCACGCCCCCGTCTGAGGTACGGTCACTACCCCTTGCCCCCTGCCCTCTGCCGTCTTCTCCACCAAGCTGTGGGTGGTGTAGTTTGGGTGTGTGGTTACAGGTCTAGGGGGTTGTCAGAGCAGGTGACATGGTGTCTTTGTCTGGGCTCAGGACGTCTGGGTGATGCCCCCCACTCTGGGCGGTGTGGCAGCCAGGGTGGGCGATTCCGGCCATCCCGGAGCGCAGGCTTGGCTTTTCGGCGCCCCATCCCTGACCGCAGGGTCCACCTTGAGTGCAGTCCTGGTTACTGCCTACGGGACGGCGGGAGCCAGGAGATATTGCTGGTCACAGGCGCTGGTGCGTGTGTGTCTGAGTGTGTGTGAGCGCGGTCAGGTCAGCCTTTGGGAGGTACAGTTGGTGGAGACACCGGGGATCCCACACCTGGGGACCAGCTGCAGGGGACCCAAGGAGCAGCTGGTGGCCAAGGTGGGGAGCGGTGATGGGGGTAGGGCAAAGCACTGAGACAGACAGGCAACAGCAGAGCCGCCGGCCTGACAGTTGTATGGAAGCACCGATTGGCCCAGGAAGGGGGCCAGAAAGTTCGGGGTGGGGGAGGGAAACAGGGGAAGGGGGAAGGTTTCAGGCCCCTAAGCCAGTGGTGGGGCTTCCGGCGACAGGCAGCTGGTGGCAGAGCAGAGGGAAAGCAGCCAGAATGGAGATCCCCGTGACCCAGTCACCAGGCTGAGCCACAGCGGCTGCGCAGGAGGTGCCTTTCCCGAGCGAGGGGAAGGGTCGGTGTGCGTGCATATAAGGGAAAGGCGGGCGTCTCCTGTCACCCCATCCCAACCGCCAGCCGGGGCACAGAGGCAGCAGGGCTGGGGGGGGGGGGAGGACACAGGGTGGGAGGGATGGAGGACTGCTGGTCCATCCCACCCCTCAAGCCCACCATACACACACACTCACACACACACACACACATACACATGTGGGCTCACACTCACACACCCCATCCACACACACAGACACACGAGCCAGTTGACAGCCTGAGCTAAGAGAAGGGCGCGGGGTGGCCGGGGGTGGGTCACAATCGGAACGGTGAACGGGTGGCGAGAATGGCTGTAGAAAGATGGACAATTTTACAGTATCCCTCACAGTGACGGGTTTTCTAAAGATCTTTCTCCTCCTCCTTCTTCTTCCTCTTCCTCCTCTTCTTCCTCTCCTCTTCCTCCATGGCTGAGAGCTCTTTCGCCCCCTCCTGACTCAATGGCGCTTTCTCTCTCCCCCTAGTCTCCTCTCTTGGCCCGAGGCCCCCTGCAGGGGGAGACGCCGCGGTACCTACATCCTCCACCACAGCCAGCCCAGGGCAGACAGGACAGTCAGGGGCCCCGGGGGTCTGGGGGCCGAGTTCTCCAGGGATCCTGGGCCTGGGAAGAGAGAGGGTCATGAAAATGGGGCTGGGATGGGAGAGAACTCTGTAGCCCTGTACAATGTCTCCATGTTAACCTCTAAGTCACTCTATCTCTCTTAATTTGTACCAATGCTGGGGCTTGAACTCAGAGCCCTGCACTCTCACTTGGCTTTTTGTTTGCTCAAGGCTGGAACTCTACTAGTTGAGCCATGCCTCCACTCCTCGCTTTTTCCTTGTTCGTTGGAGGTAAGACTTTGAACCACGAGCCTCTGATCTCAGTCTCCTGAGTGGTTAGGATTACAGGCGTGCGCCCAGCTTCCCTTGACTTTTTTGAGACATGGTCTGGCTCTATGTCAGGGTAGACTTCAATGCTGCATCCTCCTTGTTTTCACGCTTCCAAAGCAGCTGGGGGATGTGGGGTGGGGAGGTTTCGGGTACCGACCATCGCCGGTGGCTGGCTATTATCACAGTGGCCTCCTTCCTGGTGTCTACCTCCACCCTGCCCAGTCCATGCCACTAACAGCAGCTCACAAGCTAACCAAGCACCAGCACCTCCCGGTTTGATAGCCCTGTCTTGCAGTTCAGCAAAATCCGGGTGTCTGATGCCCCTTCCTGTCTAAGGGCAGGGGCCAGGGCTCGCTCTCCATGGGTTAGGCTATTCTCCCCATGCTTTTGCCACCAAGGTTCCCTTTCCCGCGCCTTTGCTCAGGGTTGACTCCTGTCCGTTCAGGCCTCCGTGTAAATGTTGGACCATCCCGGAAGCTGTCTGATGATACCCTGCCGGCTTTCCTCTCTCGGTCGTCTCCGTGTCCCAAATCCCTTTTGTGCATGTATGTGTTCCTTCATCTTCCCATCCCCGGGCTTCTGGATTTTCTACTCCTGAGTCATGAACTCTTCCAGCCCCCAAATCCTGTTTCTGTTGTACAACTGCTGTAGTCCTCGTGACTAGCCCTTAGTGGGCGCTCAGGGAATCCTGACGGAATGGATGCTTCCTTGGCTCATGGAAAAGCTCTCATCTCAGCATCTGGACTAGGGAGGAGGCAGGCCTCTCCCCCAGGACTGGCCCACCCTTCCCTGCCTCACCCCACCTCCTGGACACGCCCCTCTCAGCCCCGCCTTCTGGGCCCCGCCTCACTGCCTGGCACGCCCCCCCGCCCCACCCCACCGCCTAGGCCCCCTCCCCAGCCCCTGCCCCAGGGCCTGGGCCCCGCCCCGCCGCTTGGACAAGCCTCCTCCCAGCCCCGCCTCCTGGGCCCCGACCCATTGCCTGGGCACGCCCCCCAGCCCCGCCCCACCGCCTGGGCCACGCCCCCTCCCCAGCGCCTGCCCCGCCGCCTGGGCCCCGTCCCCCGTCCCTACTCACGCAGGAGCCGCATGGAGGCGCTGGACGCTCCCAGCCGGTTGGCGGCGCGACACGTGTAGTTACCGTAGTGCCGGGCGCTCACGTTGGCGAAGAGCAGCATGGAGCGGGTGCGCTCCGTCTGCACCTTCAGGCCCTCGGCCGCGCCGCTGCTCAGCCTGCGGGACACCGGTCCGGGTTGGGCAAGGTCCCCGTCGAGGCGCCCAGTCCAGCTCCAGGGCTTCTCTGCCCAGGAGACGCTGCGTTCCCCCCGTACCCCAGGGCTCCCCAGATTCCTCTCTCCAGCCCCGCGGCCCCGTGGCCGCTGGATCCCGGCCCCAGGCTTGCATTCATCACCCTGGGAGCCTCCCGGGGCCTGGCGGGCCCCTGCCAGGGACGCCGGACCCCTCGGCCCTGCGGTGCCTGGGGCCATGGGCCTCACCTGCCCTCCCCTCCCCTGCCCGGCCCTCCTCTGCCCTCTCCCCCCCGCCCCCGGTGCCGTCCTCACAGCCTGTCATCCTTGTACCACTGGAAGTCCGCGGGCGGCACAGCCATGGCTTCACAGCGCAGGAGCGCGGCCCGGCCCGGGGCGGTGCGCGCGCTGGTCACGTCGGTGATGGTCGGGGGATCTGGCGAGGAGCGGAAGCCAGCAAGGGCTCTTAGCTGTCGGGGAGTATGGCGCCCCCGCTCCCTCCTCCCGCAGACCCCGGGTTCTACCCAGCTTCCTCTTCATGGGACAGCCCCCTCCTTCCGCGGGCACCCGGGGCCCGCCCTCCTTCCCTTCCCCTTCCAGGGCCCGCCCCCATTCTCCCCTCCCCGAGCCAGGGCCCGCCTCCTTACTACCCCCCCCCGGGGCCCGCCGCCTCCCTACCCCCCCCACCCCGTCCAGAGCCAGGGGCGCTCACAGTTGACTGTAACCAGCACCCGGCGGCTGTCGGGCGCCGAGTTCACGCCGTTGTGGGTCACGCACTCGTACTCCCCGGCCTGGCCCCGCTGGATGTCGGAAATCTCCAGGATCTCGCCCTCCGAGGTGAAGCCGTCTGTGAGGGGAGGGTGGAGGGGGGGCAGGGCCGGACACAAACACTTAACACGGGACAACACGGGCACAACACGGACACACATCAGCGGGGCGCGCACAGCAGGGCCTGGTGTGCCCGGGTCCGTAGGCGCTGGGTGGGGCCGTGGGCGGGGCGGGCGGGGCCAGGGGGCGGGGCCGGGAGGCCTGCGGGGTGGGCGTGCTAGGTGGGCGGGGCCGGCGTGGTGGGGCGGGTCAGAGCCTGTGGAGTGGGCGGGGCCGGGTGTGGGTAGTGTTGTAGGGGTGGAGTCTGGGCGGGGCCAGATGAAAGGGCGGGGCCCGCAGGGAAGGCCAGAAGGACTCCAGGGGTCAGAATGAAATCCTAGGAAGGAAGCAGCCAAAGTCTTGGGTCTCAAAAGAATCTGCGGCTACAGATTCCGTGGGTGCAGCCCCGAGTCCAGTAAATGGAGCTCCTCGGGTCTAGAGAATGAGAATCTGTTGCCGGGATCAGCGACCAGACGTGGGAGGCCCTCTGCTCAAGTCCCAGCAGGTCCTCTGGGCCTCAGGACATCCAGCGACCCCGGATGTCCTGGAGCTCAGAAGTATAGTGGGGGTGGGGGCCCTCCAGGGATCTGAGATTTGGCCATTGGGTTCTGGGGTCTCAGGGGATCCACAGGTCAGGATCTAGAGATTGTCACCACAGATCTCCAGATCATGGGGTGAGGAGCCGGGGGTTGGGGGTGGTCTGTGGGGAGGCCCAACTGGTCTGTGAGGCTCAGGTCCTTGGTGCTCTGTTTAGGGGCAGCTGTGAGTGGTGACCCAGCACTCACTGAGGCAAGGGAGAAGGCTGCGCATCTGGGCAGGGACCTGAGAACCTGCATTTCTGCCCATCTCCCAGGGTGTGCAGATGCTGAGTGAGGTCTGAGGACCATGTTTGGAAAACTAGTAGTTGGGCTGGCAGCATAGCTCCAGTGGTTGAGCCCTTGCTTAGCAAGTGCAAGGCCCTGAGTTCAAGTCCCAGTGCTGCCAAAAAGAAGGAAGGAAGTAAGGAGGAAGAAGAGGGAGAAAGGGAGGAAGGCAGGAAGGAAGGGAGAGAGGGAGGGAGGGAGGGAGGGAAGAAAGGAAGGAAGGAAGAGGAGAGAAGAAAAGAGAAAATCTTCCTTCCACGTTAGAGTGCCCAGTAGGACAGAGGTAGGAATGGCTGGGAGATGGGAATGTGGGCAGGACCCAGGCTCCGGCCTGGCCCCAGTTCTGGTAGAGGATCCTGCATGCAGGAGAACCTGTGAGTGGGGCAGAGAGGCTGGGGCTGTTTGGGCAGATAACCTGAAGCACTGGCCTTGTGGAGGGCAGCAGGAGGAAAGTCAGTGGTAATTACGGTGCTAAGGACCTGGGGTCCAGGGATGAAAACACCAGGATAGCAGGGGAAATTAAATCACTGGAAGAGGTGAGGGCAGGGGTCTATGGGATGCAATGGCCCAGACTGGCCAGGGGTGGGGTTCTCACCTCGGAGCTGCCTCCAGGTGACCGTGGGCTCCGGCCGCCCCACAGCCAGGCAGAGCAGGTTCACGTCACCCCCTTCATTGACTGTCACAGGTGAGGAGATGTTCACGATGCGGGCAGGCACTGCAGGCCGAGCAAGCAGTCAGTGACAGGCTGAATGGGCAGTCCTAGGGCTCCTCCTTCAGACCCCAAGGTTCAGACCCCAGCCTCCTCCCTCAGACCCAGGGGTCCAGACCCCAGCCTCCTCCCTCAGACCCTGAGGGCCAGGCCCCAGCCTCCTCCCTCAGACATGGGGGTCCAGACCCCATCCTCCTCCCTCAGACCCGGGAGTCCAGGCCCCAGCCTCCTCCCTCAGACTTGGGGGTCCAGGCCCCAGCCTCCCCCCTCAGACCCGGGGGTCCAGGCCCCAGCCTCCTCCCTCAGACATGGAGGTCCAGGCCCAGCCTCCTCCCTCAGACATGGGGGTCCAGGCTACAGCCTCCTCCCTTAGACATGGTGGCCAAGGCCCCAGCCTCCTCCCTCAGACTTGGGAGTCCAGGCCCCAGTCTCCTCCCTCAGACATGGGGGTCCAGGCCGCAGCCTCCTCCCTCAGACCCAGAGGTCCAGGCTGCAGCCCTCTTGTTTCCTCCCAGCCCCTCTGTGGATCTGTGGGGCCCCATTTCCCCTGCTTGGAATCCCAGAGCAGGGCCTGTGTGCAGCTGGTTCATTCCCTCCCAGGCCCTGCAGATGCCGCAGCTTTGATCGCACTAGCTGTGTGCAGCCCCAGAGTATGCCTTGGAAGCCCCTCTTGGAGCCTTTCCTTGGAAAATCCACCTCCGATGGGCAGGAAGAGCCCACCTGGTGTATCCTCAGCCCTTAGAAGATGCCAGAAACTACCCCCCCCACACCCCACAGCTCTCCTAAACAGAACTGTCTCCCCAAACCATGCTTATCCAGGGACATTTCCTGTGCCTGGGTGACCTCTGCTTCTATGTGTCTCTGAGATTGGGAAGTAGCACTATGCGGGGAGAGGGGGGAAGGGGGCGCCCTTCCATGGCCTGTGGGGGGGTGCATGCCGTGCCCCCCCTCAGGGGTGCCACCTGGGCCCTGGGAGGCTCACCGTGGACGATGAGGTAGAGCTGCGTGGTGTAGGGCTGACGTTGGGTCTGGAAGGAGCAGGTGTACAGGCCCTCATCACCCAGCGCCACCTGGGTGATGAGGATGGAGAACTCCTCGGGAGTGTTGATGAGCAGCCGCACACGTGGGTCGCTGGTCCAGCGGTCATTGCCCGCGTACAGGATGTTGGAGCGGTTCAGCCAGGCCACCCGCGTCACATGCTCATCAATGAAGCAGCTGTGGGGGGGTGGGGGCAGTGAGGGGAAGCTGGACTTCCACACCTACCACCGGCCCTGCCAGGCTGACCCCGCTGTGCACGCCTTGCGGGTGAGTAAACTGAGACTCTCACACAGGGCAGGTGGGGAGCCCAGGGGCGCCGAGGCTCATGTAACTGAGGGGTGCTGTCCACCAGAGACGGGCAGGGAGCAGAAGGAGGGGCTAGAAGCCCAGAGAAGGAGTCACCAAGACCCAGAAAGACCCTCAGAGACTCTGATGGGGTGGGAGGCAGAGACCCAGTGACGGGGGGCAGAGCGCTCGGGACCAGCAGCCCCCACGCTCACCTGATAAGCAGGCCTAACACGTCCACCAGCTAAGCAAGGCAGATGAGAACTCTTGAATCCTCGACACTCACGTGGTGGTCACCACCCCCAGGTGGGAGCAGTCTTCCCACACCCCCTCCCCAAGAGGGGAGCTCCACAGGGGAAGCGCCAGCCACCCCTCCACCCGGGGCCCCTACCTGAGGGTGGCGTTGTCGCCTTCGCACACCGTATAGTTGTCTGCTGGGGAGTTGAACTCCAGGCTCTGGGACAGCAGCCCTGCAGGGGGAGCAGGCAGCTCAGCCAGGCAGCTGGGGCAGGGCAGGGTGGGGCAGAGGCCTCACACCACACAGGATCTGCACCAACAGCCACACTATGCTCTGCTCACGGATGTCACCAGAGACACACACAGCAGACACACTCAGAGCAGACACGCACATGTGAGCCCTCCCAGAGCACCAATACACAGGCAGGGATGGGGCTCAGGTTAACAGTTGCACCTCAGTGACACAGAGACAGCACATGAACACATAAACACACGTGCTCACACAGGAACACACTCACAACTACATGTTGTGCACACAGAAACCCATGTGCGCACACACATGCCAATCACATATGCCCACAGGTACAATGCTCACTGATACACAGACAAATATGTGCAGAGAAACATATAATATACATACATACCAATCACATATACCCACAGATACATACATATACACAGGGTGCGTATACACACCAACACATGTATGCACAAGGAAGGCTGCATGTGAACATACCAGTCATGTGTGTCTACACATGACACATACATGTTGACACAGACTGACGTGTGTATATACACCAACACACATGTGCATGCGCCCATGTGCCCATGGACACACATGCACACGTACAAATGATACACAGGTGCACAGAGGTATGTGCAGATACACACCAATGCACATCTACACACATGTAGACATCCACACAGACACACCCATCCATGTGTGCACAGGTATACATCTACACACCCATACAGACACAGGTGCATGTGCACACAGAGCAGACATGTGGACACAGGCTTGTGCCCAGCCATGAGTACTCAGTACCCATGCACACAGATATAATGTACAGAGACCCACGCTTATGCACAGACACGACACAGGTACAGATGCACATGCACACAGATACCACACATAAAAAACACACGTGGTTTAGTGGTACAGTGCTTGCCTAGCATGCATGAAACCCTGGGTTCGATTCCTCAGTACCACATACACAGAAGAGGCCAGAAGTGGTGCTATGGCTCAAGGTTAGAGCGCTAGCCATGAGCAGAAGCTCGGGAACAGTGCCCAGGCCCTGAGTTCAAGTCCCAGGACTGGAATTAAAAAAAGAAAGAAAAAAGAAAAAGAAAATCCCCTACGTGCAGAAACCCACGTATGCACACATTCACCCAGACATTCGGAGCCAGCCGACATCAGACACTCAATGGGCACACACTGCATGGACCTGTAGACACACACCCACGGCACGTGGCCATGCTCAGATTTTGTATGCAAACCTTCCAGCCCTTGCTGCGCCCATGTGCACAGGCCCAGCTTGCCCATGGCCCAGAGGCTCCGTCTGTCTTCTCTGTGGCCCACGGCCAGTGGGCTGGACCAGGGCCAGCGAGTGCAGGCTGGGTGTGCGGAGGCGGGAGACGGCACAGGCGGGGAGGGAGGAGGCCAGCTGGGTGACCTTGGACACCGGGAGCAGGCAGGCCCTGTGAGGGGCTGCCCTGCCCCCAGCCCAGGAAGAAGAGCTAATTAATCTAATGAATTAATTGCCCGTGCTGGCCCCAATGGCTCCCGGGGGCCCTCTCCATCACAGCCCCTCAGTATGGGGCCTGGACGGAGCCAACTGCCATAGCTAGCCAGAATGTGGGGCTCCAGGGCCCCCAGGCCAGGCCAGAGTCACTGGTGTGTTTGGAAGAGGCAGGAGGAGGGGAGGGCTGTCCCTGCCCCGCCCGTGTGCAGTGCCCTGGACTCTGACATACACACACACACACACACACACACACACACACGGTGTCAACAGCACCAAGAAACATTCATGCCTATGACTGTGTGCTGATGAGAGGGACACACACACACACACACACACACACACACACACACAGAGGCACGGTGACACCCATGGCCCAGATGCACGCACAGCAGCAGGTCAGGTGGAAAAGACAGCTGTCTTCTGGGAGCAGCCAGACTATCACGCTCAGCCCCGGGTGGGGGTGGGGATGCGGGGAGGGGGGTTAGCCCAGGCTAGGCAGTCCACACACTGAGTCACCCCAGAAAATACCACTGCTACTCTTTCCTGCAATGCTGTCGACGTCGCTTCACACATGGCTCCATACTCTGGGGTACAGCACCACCCAGGGAGCCGCCCTCCCTCCCTCCCCCAACCCATCACATGGCATCCCCAGCCAAAGCAGATATCCCCCCCTACCCCCACCTCCAGGCCCCCAGCTTTGGAAGGAGGCCCTGAGTCCACCCACACCAAGCTACAACCTACAAGAGGAGAAGTCACAAATATAACGCCTGGGCCATAGCAATGGATGCCTGCAATCCCAGCACTCCACAAGCTGAAGCAGGAGGAGTCAAAGTCTGAGGCTAGCCTGAGCTGCATTCCAAGCCCTGACTCACACAAAACACAACGAAAAATTAGATATGTAGCTCAGGGCTAGAGCATCTGCTGAGCATGCACCAAGGCCCTGGGTTCAATCCCTAGCAGTACAAAAAAAAGGGGGTCTGAAACCCAAACTATACCAATCCTATGTGGGTGCTCACACCATCTCCTAGACAGGCCAAGGCAGACATGGACCAAGGTCCTGATGACACCACTGACATTGGAGGTCAGTCTGTCCTGGGCAGTGTGTCTGGGTCTACATCCACTTGGTTCGGGAAGCATCCCCATCCTGAAGTTGGTCATAACCAAAAATACCTCCTGACCTTGCCAGTGTGTTCGTGACAGCCACAGCCCTCAGCGAATGCAAACTCGGGGCTGGGCGTGGCCCACATTATATCCACTGCTGCCTGGGAGGAAAAGGCCAAGAGGCAAAGTGTGAAATCCTCTTGGAAAAAAGAAACCAAAGGCCCAAAGGCCGGGGGGGCGTGGCTGGCGGTGGGCGGTGCGATGGGCGTGGTTGGTGGTGGGCACGGCTCCGGAGCTGGAGCATTCGCCCGGAGGCGAGGAGCTGTCCAGGGTCCTGTCCAGGTCTGGGGACTGAAGCGTCCCCGCCTCAGAGGCCCATGCTGGGAGCCGGACTCCCACCGCAGGCAGGCAGGGCAGACGGGCTAGAGCCCAACTTGCCACAAAGATCCTGCTGACCCTCCAAGAAGGCCTTTCCCAGGAAAGGGACCTGGGCCTCTGCTCCGGGGACCGCAGCAGAGAGCGGCTCACGGCCCGGCATGCAGTCAGCCCAAGAAAGGCGGGCGGCTCCTACACGGCGCCCTCTTTTTCAAGAAGCATCCATGGCCCTCCCTGGTGTGGCACCACCATCTGAGAGAGGTCCCTGGCCGGGCTAGTGCTGTGTAACTCCTACAAAATGCCCTGCACGCGTCTGCTCCCACAAGCCCACCTCAGCTGCAGGGAGGGCAAGTGGGGTGCCAAGTTGCTGGGCTTCATGCCCCTGCACTGCCCTCCAGTTGCACAGGTAACTCTACCTCTTTGGACTCAGTTTCCCCGTGGGGAAGATGGTCAGCCTCCCTGGCTGTGGGGGAGAGGGAAATCCTGGGGGCACAGAGGCATCACAGGGCTCCGGAAAGCAGGCCTCATCTCTGTCTGATAAATCAAGGGAGCAAGCGATTCCTCACAAGGGGACGTGGAGTTGGAGGTGAGAATGTAGCCCGACCCCTCAAAGGATCCCAGAGAACTCTGCTGAGGGAAAGAAAGTCAGGAGGATCTCAAGTTCAAGGTCAGCCTGAGACCTGGTCTCAACACAAACAAGCACCAATACGTTTGCTAAAATGAACCAATAAAGCAGAGGCTGGGAAGGTGGCTCAGCGGTAGAGTGCTTGCCTAGCATGCATGAAGCCCTGGGTTCGATTCCTCAGCACCACATACACAGAAAATGTTGGAAGTGGTGCTGTGGGTCAAGTGGTAGAGCATTACTAGCTCTCAACATAAAGAAGCCTAGGGACAGTGCTCAGGCCCTGAGTTCAAGCCCTAGGTCTGGCAAAAAGTTAAAAAAAAAAAAAAAAAAGCAGGGGCAGCCCCCACCCCTTCCCGGGGCAAGATGGCCTGGGGCAGTATCAGCCTTCAAACCACGACTGTGGGCCTGTCCTGCCCCCTTCAGGTGTCCAAGAGCAAAGACACCCCAAACTTACTTGGAGTTGTCGCTTGGTTTAATGGGTTTGTTCTACGATACAATATAGCTGCTTTTGTGAATGAATGTTAATGGCATGAAGGGGGGTGTTGGCAAAGAGTTTAGAAAAGAATTAAAAGTAGATTAATATTTAGGAATGCCAGGGAGGAAGTTAAGTGGAAATAAGCCAGAAGCAGCGAAATGGGCTTATTTTGTTTCTGTGTTTGGAAAAGCACCAATGAACCAACCCATTCTCTCTTTACCCTGACCTCTGTGTTCAATGAGTTTGTTTAAGTTGTAGAAAACTAATTGGGGGAGGAGGCTTCCTGTATCTGGGGCAGCCCTAGACACCCCATTTTTTTTGAGACAGAGTCCCACCATGTAGCCCAGACTTGGCTTAAACTCAAGATCCTCCTGCTTCTGCCTCCCAAGTTGCTGGGATTATAGGCAGGGACCAACATACCTATGGCTTAATCTGGGAGTTAGGGGGCGGAGCTGGGACACACCTGGCTTTGCTCTTATACCTGGTGCATGATTTGAGTTATTTGGAAAATATCTGGAGTACAGAAGAAAGATTAGGGGGTTGGAGGCCTGGCTCAGGTGTTCGAGCATCAGCCAATGAGCAAAAGCATCATATCCTGGTCTAGGACAAAAAAGGAAGGAAGGGGGCTTGGAAGGTGGCTCAGCGGTACAGTGCTTGCCTCACATGCATGAGGCCCTGGGTTCAATTCCTCAGCACCACATAAGCAGAAAAAGCTGGAAGTGGCACTGTGGCTCAAGTGGTAGAGTGCTAGCCTTGAGCTGAAGAGCTGAGGGACAGCGCCCAGGCCCAGAGTTCAAGCCCCATGACAGACCAAAAAAAAAAAAAAGGAAGGAAGGAAGGAAGGAAGGAAGGAAGGAAGGAAGGAAGGAAGGAAGGAAGGAAGGCAGGCAGGCTGATTTAATAATAGCCCATGGCATAGCTGGCTCAGACTGCCCCTGGTTGATGGACGCCTCTCCAGCACTCCATTTTGTCTGGGTTCACCCCACCCCATCACCTCTTGTCCTCAGCTTGGGAACCTGAGTCTAGAGGCAGGAAAAGCCCAAACCAAGGTCACATCCACCCCATGCTGCGCTCGCGCCAGGATTTGGACGTAGGGGTGATCTTTGGGGGGGGGGGGTCTGGTCAGGGGAAGTTACCTGGAGAGTACAGAAGGTGTTGGTGGTAGTTCAGGGGGAGTCTGGGGGCACAGGGAGTGGGGGAGGAAAGAGGCAGACAGGACAGAGGGAGGGGAGGAGGTGACCACAGGGGCTCTGGCAGGGTGACAGATGAAGACGAACAGTTTGAGAGACAGATGGGACGTCACCCGGAGACTGGACAGGTGCTTCCGGAAATGGGGGGACACGGGCACATCCAAAGATGAGTGACACCCACACCCACACACACAGAGCGGCTCAGCTTCCTGGCTGGTTGGGTCCCCAGCCTCGACTGTCCCCTTACCCCGGCCTTGTCTGTCCCCCCTACCCTGGCGGGCCAGGCCATGGGAGGCTGTGCGCTCAGGGCCGCATTTGGCCGTGGGCCTCTGTCCGCGGTGCTTGGGGTGGAGGCCCAGAGGGGGCTGTCCCCAGCACCCCCCCACACACAAGTGTGACCCGGCTCCGTTGGCATCCCCCCCCCAGCTCAGGATTCCCCCGCCCCCTGCACCCCTTCTTGCCCCCACCCGGGACGGGGGGGGGGGGGAGGACGTCCTGGCCAGTCGTGGACCCTAGCCCAGCCCCGGCTGCGTCCCGCTGGCCTCTCCGCATTAACCCTTCGCGCCCCGCTCCCAGCGGGCCTGTCCGTCCCTTGGTCTAGCGCTCGTCCGTCCGTCCAGCTGCCCTCCCTGTCCGGCCCCGCATGTCCACCTGAACCGCTCAAGCTGATTTCCAGCGCCGCACCCCAACTTCCCAGATCCCCGAACTACTCCCCCACACAACCGCAGTACCCCCCCAAACGTCCACCCTCCCCGGACCCGGGAGCGCGGGGGGAACCCCCTTCCCGGGGCGCGCCCGGGGCGGCGCGGGGCTCGATCTGCGGGCGCACCCGGGGTGCCCCGCTTCCGACCCCGGGAAGGCGTCCGGCCCCCGCCCTGGCCCCGCGGCGCAGGCCCAGCTCCCCCCGCCCCGCCAGGGCTCCCCGGCCCCCGGCCCCCGGCCCGGCCCCCGCCCGGCGCTGCGGTACCTCGGCTGATGACGGCCAGGCCGGCCAGGGCGGCGGCGGCGAGGAGCCGGAGCCGGGCCCCGGGCGCAGGGGGGGGCATGGCGGCGGCGGCGGCGGCGGCGGCGCGGGGGCGGGGGAGGGGCCGGGCGCGCGCGGCCCGGGGGAGGGGCGGGGGAGGGGACCCCGCCTGCGGCGGCACCGGCCCGGGGGGCGGCGGGGGCGGGGGCGGGGGCCGGGGGGGCGCGACGAGGCGGCCTGCGCTGCTGCAGACTCGGGGAGGGGGCGGCGCTGACGGGCAGGGAGGCTGGCCAATCAGAGGAGGCAGGGGGCCGCGGGGGCGGGGCCGCGGGGGGGGCCGGGCAGAGGAGCGGCCTTTGTTACCGGGCCGCCCCGCGCCCGCCGCCCTCTCTGCGCGCCCGCCTGGGTCCAGCGCCGGGCCCACGGAGCCCTCCTCCCTCAGACCCGGGGGTCCAGGCCCCAGCCTCCTCCCTCAGATCCGGAGGTCCAGTCCCCAGCCTCCTCCCTCAGATCCGGAGGTCCAGTCCCCAGCCTCCTCCCTCAGACCCGGGGGTCCAGGTCCCAGCCTCCTCCCTCAGATCCGGAGGTCCAGTCCCCAGCCTCCTCCCTCAGACCCGGGGGGTCCAGGTCCCAGCTTCCTCCCTCAGACCCGGGGGTCCAGGCCCCAGCCTCCTTCCTCAGTTTCAGGGGTCCATGTCCCAGCCTCCTCCCTCAGACCCTGGGGTCCAGGCCCCAGCCTCCTCCCTCAGACTCGGGGGTCCAGGTCCCAGTCTTCCTCCAGCCTCCTCCCTCAGACACAGTTCAGATCACACACAGATAAACAAATACTGCATGATTTACTTCACTTTCATATGGAGTCAAATACTCAGAACCAGAGCCTGCAGTGTGGTTAGCTGGGGTGGGAAGATGTGGGCAGAAGGTCATAAAATGGCAGATGTGGACGAGGAAGACTGGAGAGCTACCTACAACATGAGGATTACAATTAACGATATTTTACTATATTCAGGATTTTTTTTTTCCTCTAAAAGGGTCATAGTGGCTTTGCCACAGGAAAGCCGACCACTCCTGGCTCATTTCTCACTGCTGTCTGCTCTCCCTTCCTCCCCCAGCCCTGGACCCCCAGCACCCAGGCTATGGCACCCTGGACTTCCTCCTGAGCCCCGTCCCCTCTGTCTCCTTGTGTCTCCCAGCCCAGGGCTAGAGAGGGGTGTTTGTCCTGTGCGGGAGTGACAGCCAGAGCTCTGCAGCCTCAGCAAGTATGCTGGGCTGCACGTGTCTGGAGTCCACAGTTCTACCCTCTTCTTCCTCCCTCCAGAGCCCCTCCCTATGGACGAAACATGCCACAGACCCTCCACCCTGGGGAACTCTTCTTAGGGGGGGGCCTGGCCCGAGGCTGGTGAACACCTGGGCTCAGGTGGGCTCAGGCCTCAGACCCCTCCAGAATTCTGGCTGCTCCAGAAGCGAGCAGTGTGAGGTTCTAGTCTTCCATGGCCTTGGGAATGTCAAGTTTCTGCCACTGCATAAGAATTTTTTTTTTTTTTTTGTCAGTTGTGGGGCTTGAACTCTGGGCCTGGGCGCTGTCCCTCAGCTCTTCAGCTCAAGGCAAGTGCTCTATCACTTGAGCTACAGCACCACTTCCCGTTTTCTGGTGGTTTATTGGAGATAGGAGTCTCATGGTCTTTCCTGCCCGGGATGGCTTTGAACTGAGATCCTCAGATCTCAGCCTCCTGAGTAGCTAGGATTACAGGTGTGAGTCACCATGCCCTGCAAGAATCTTCTAAGGGGATGAGACCCATGGTGAGTGACGTGCTAACCCTGGTACCCCAACTCTACCCATGTCCCCACCACCTCCACCCTCTACAGGATTCCTGGAGGAAGTCCTGGGCTGGGACTAAAAAACCAAGCTCCCCTCACCTGCCCAACCCCCACCCTACCCTTCTCTATGCCCACCTTCTCCTCCTCCTCCCTTTTCTTCCTCCTTCTGTTCTTCATCTCCTCCTTACTCTCCTCCTCATCTCCTTCTTTTCCTTCTCCTTCAGTCTTCTTCCTAGGGGATTGAACCCAGGGCTTCCTACTCACCAGAAAAGTGCCCTACCACTTGAACATTGCCCTGTGCTCTTAACGTTTTTTTTTTTTTTTCTGAGATAGTGTCTCATTAACTTTTCCATGGCTGGCCTTGAACTTGCAAACCTCTTGCCTTAGGCTTCCAAGTGCTGGGATTACAGGCATGAGCCACCATACCCAGCATATCTTTCTTTTTTTAAAAAAATGAAGCAGGCAAATAATAGGAAAGATTCAGACAGGATTAATACATTTGATTTAAAGTTACAAATATATAGGGGCTGGGAAGTTGGCTCAGTGGTAGAGTGCTTGCCTTGCATGCATGAGGCCCTGGGTGCTGTGGCTCAAGTAGTAGAGTGCTATCCTTGAGCTGAAGAGCTGAAGGACAGCGACCAGGCCCAGAGTTCAAGCCCCATAACCGGCACACATACATACATATGTAGTAGATATGAATTTCATTAAAATAGTATAGAATACACATTTTTTAAGCCTAAGTGGAATGTTTATAACAACTAAACAAAAAACTGCCACAAAGCAAATAAGAAAATGGAAGGTTAGGAGCATAGCTTAAGTGGTTGAGCACTTGCCTAGCAAGTGTAAGACTTTTGGTTCAAAAAAACCCAATACCCCACACACAAAGAGAAGAAATTTATTTCGTGCAGAGTTACATTTTCTAGTCTTATTAGACTTAAGCTAGAAAGAGTATTATTAGAAATTATTAATATATCTTTAAAACAAAGGTCAAAAATTAATTAGAAATGTTTACACCAAATTATAGAGATAATTTAAATGAACATCTGTGGAATGCAGTTAAGGCTGAATGTAGAGGGAAATGTATAGCCTAAAGTGCCAATATAGAGTGACTGACCCTAGAGTCCGTTTCAAGGGGGCAGATTTGAACCACAGTACTCCCACAAGGAGGACCAGGAGGAAGAGGAGCAAGGTGAATGCAATGCTTCATACATGACGCTGTGGAGCAGCCCTCTCCTGAACACCTTGAAAAGTGAAGTCTTAGCTGCAACCAGAGAGTGGTTTTTCTCCTAAGACTTCACATCTGAGCTGTAGCATGACTATTTCCTTCTTCCCCAGCCTCACTTCCCCCTGGCCCTCCTTGTTGTTGAGCCAGGCTGGTCACTAGGCCTCTGTGACTCGCTGGCTATCAGGAGGATTCTGGATGTGTGGATCCCATTCTGGTTCTTCCCCCTTCCTCCCCCCCCCCCCCCAGCGGAGTCTCGTGATAATCTCTGGGTTCCTCCTGAGGTGTGTGGTCTAGGGGATAAGAGTGCTGGAGGTGATGTGCAGGGTGTCACCCCGTCTGTCCCTGCCCTTGGTGGTGCCTCCAACCCACCACCGCACCGTGGGAGAGGGGACCCCGTGAAGGAGCAGCTGCCCTGCAGGGTCTTCTCCAAGGAGCAAGAGTAGCCGAGCAGCCTGGCGGGGACTGTGGACAGGGGGTTGGGCCTCAGCAGGCTCCCCACTCTTTCCCTCCTCTCCCTTCAGTCCTTCTCTGTGTTTATGAGTCACAGAGAGACTGCACAAGTCCCAGAACTGCGAAACTCTCCTCTCCTCCTCTCTCCTCATATGCCCTGGCCTTGGGCTCAGCTCTTAACTCAGCCCTTCCAAAGCCTAGGGGGGCCCCCCAGGACCCAGTATTTCTTTTTGTCCTTTTTTTCTGGGGGGGGGTGTCAGTCATGGGGCTTGAACTCTGGGCCTGGGCGCCGTCCCTCAGCTCTTTTGCTCAAGGCGAGTGCTCTACCACTTGAGCCACAGCACCACTTCCAGTTTTCTGGTGGTTCATTGGAGATAAGATTCTCATGGAGGGCTGAGAAGGTGGCTCAGTGGTAGAGCGCTTGCCTTGCATGCCTGAGGCCCTGGGTTTGATTCTCCAGCACCACATAAGCAAAAAGAAAAAAAAGCCGGAAGTGACGCTGTGGCTCAAGTGGTAGAGTGCTGGCCTTAAGCTGAAGAGCTGAGGGACAGCGCCCAGGCCCAGAGTTCAGGCCCTCACAACTGACCAAAAAAAAAAGAAAAAAAAAGATTCTCATGGACTTTCCTGCCCGGACTGGCTTTGAACTGTGATCCTCAGATCTCAGGCTCCTGAGTAGCTAGGATGACAGGAATGAGCCACCAGTGCCCAGCTACCTCTTACTTTTTTATTAGCATGTACTAATCACACAGCAGGGTTTCATTGTGGTATTTATATTTTATATATTTATATATTATATATTTTATATATTTTGATCAAGCACATCCCCCCAATTACTCCTTCCTGCTCTTCTCTCCGTTTAAAAACTATTTTTAAATCAGGTTTCCATACGTGCACATGAAGTAATTTGCTAATATCTGCACTACCCCCCTTACCCTCTCCCCCCCCCCCCCTTGCCCCACTGAGCCCCATCCCTTTCTGTTGGATCCACCATTTTCCTCAGACTCAGGACCCTGTCCCCGCCTCCCAGTCCATCCCCAACACCCCCCATCCCCCCCTCCTGCACTCATACTCCTGGTCAGGTCATCCAGGGAGAAGCTGGAGGGGCATGGAAGGGTGGGGCCCTACTCTTGGGGCTGCAGGTGAAGTGTAGCTTTGAAGAGAAGTCACAGGAGACAGGGCTGTGTGAAGGTGTGGTGGCGTCCACTCAGGTGGGTAGAGAAGCCCTGATGTCTGGGCAGGCTGCTTGGATGGCACAGGTCAGAGCTGTGGCTCTCCAGCCGCCAGCCTCCCTGAGATATCCAGCTCTGGTTCTGGGATCAGATCTGGGGGAGAGAGGGAATGAATCTACACCTTGGGGGTGAGAGGTTTCCATCCAGACTCCACCCCAACAGCCCAGAGATTGTAACTGGGGCTGTTTCTCCCCACAGCTTTCTGTTCTCTGGGGGGAGGGCACAGTCCACTTCACAATGAGCCAACTGAAGAGACCCAGCAGAGCTGAGGATGACCCCATGTGAACTCTGCATCCGCTTCCCAGCCTCCTCTGTGATTCTCCCTCTACCCGCCTCCTGCTCCACGCCCCAGAGCACTGCTCT